CTTCCATCCTCCATTAGGGGTGTGCATTGGGCGAGTTCGGGTAGGAAAATTAAAAACCCGATCGGATTTAGGATATGGAAATCAAGCCCCAATTTTTTGATTTCGGATTAAGGATTGCTTCGGGTTCGGGTTGGTCGGGTTTCAGGTTGAGGTCGGTCGGGTTCGGGTTTAATTATAATGTGAAATATATATATACATTCGATTTTGACGATGAAATCAATCAATTTAGAGAATTGATAAACTGATAGTATGCTTAAAAATTAGGGGGAAAAAACATGAGAAACTATGATTTTTGGAATTTTCAAAAGATAATTAGATAAATAAGAATATTTATATAGTATTTAAAATATATATGTATGTATATTTCGGGTTTTAAGACGGATAGGGAGGCCAAAAATCAAACCCAACCCGAACCAAATCCCCCCCCCCCCCCAAAGTCGGTTTTTGGATTTCGGGGCATTTGGGTTTTACATAAATATCTTATATTTGGTCCAGGTTTGGATTTGGATTTCGGATAATTCGGATTTTATACACCCCTATCCTCCATCACCAGCTTCTTCTTCCATACTTTACCTGACAATCCAAGGTCTAACGTGACAAACAACTTTTTATACAGATCATCAGTAATGAATACAGATTATTCTAGTTTTTACACGTATATTAGTCAATAACATTTCTGAAAACCCCAAGGAAAAAACAAGATGAAGCAAGGGGATGTTGGAAGATTCCATTCTGGTCTAAAACATCAAAGGAGGATTCCACAAAGAAGAGACAATGTCGAGAATGGTTTCAAACCCGTGATCGGCCTTGACTGTTGAATTAGCCACCTCTGGACGATGCCACCATGGATTATTCTCCTGTTCAATCCCAACAGTAGCAAAACCCTAGCATTTGATTTAAACATATGGTTGAAGCAGTAGTGAGTTCTTCAAAAAATTTAACTCCGTTGAAACTTGTGTGTTGAAGAAGGAGGTGGTGGATTAGGGAGAACGAAGAAGAAGGTCAAGAAAGAGACGAAAGATATAAGATAACCAAATTGTCCTAACGTAGAGCGTAAATAGGCACTAAAATGCTAGGAAGATGGCGTTCATTAGACGATAGGACCGAAACCAAAACGAAATGCAAATCACGGGTAAAATTTGACAATAAATTAAAGTTGATGGACTAGAACTGAAATTTCAACAAACCGCAAAGATGAAATTCATAGAATAATATATTCAATTTAAGAAAAAACTTTATTTTTAATCAATATTAATATAATTAAAAAAAACTGTAATTTAATAATAAAAAAATCAAAAAATAGTCCACTATTTATTTATCACCAAATTATTAATTTTTAATTAACACCAATATAGTAAAGAAAATATGGTTATTGAACTAAAAAGTCTTTAACCTAGCGGTATCGTAATCTTTTGTCTTCAAGAAGGTCAAAAGTTCAAATTTTCACCAAATATGAGGAGGTTGTGTGATTTTATTTGTTGTATTTGTCGTACATAAGTATTATATACTTAAAAAAAAATGAATATGTACATTTTTTATAAATATATATCACATATTATAAAAAAAAACATTTAACCAACACCGATTAAATGATATTTCACAAAAGGCGGAGATAACATTAACAATGACAATTGACATTATTATAATGACAATTTTCGTTTATAAAAAGAGGTTTTTTTTTTTACTTTAATTCATGTCAAATTACACTTTCAAACGGTGTCGTATAAAATAAATAATATGTCACTTTAATTTAAATACGCTCTAAAATACTTGATAAAACACATAAAAACATTTTATAAACCTATTATAATACTTTTAATAAGATTATTTTTAAAATTTCAATTGTATTAACGTCGTGAAAAAAAAAAGTAAACTCATAAACAAAATTAATTTTTTTTTTTTGATAACAAATAATTTTTTTATTCCTTTTATTTAATTATTTTAGCCTTCAATTATTAAAACGACGACGTACTTTTTTTCTCATAAAAGAGCAACATACATTTACTATATTATCTAAATAAAAAATAAAACTTATATTGATATTTTTAGGAAAAATTGCATCAAAATGAAACCAACTTTCACATAATTTCTATTTTGGGGAACCAACTTTCAAAATCGTTATTTTGGGGAACCAACTTGCACTTGATTCCTATTTTGGGGAACCAACTTTCAAAATCGTCATTTTAGGAAACCAACTTGCACTTGATTCCTATTTTGGGGAACCAACTTGCAAAATAATTATATAAAATAACTAAAATTCATTTTTTTCCAAAAATTAATGCAATAAAATCTATTTTTCATTTCAAATCTCATTTTTTTAATTCATATATCAAATTGAACATTTAAAAAAATTCAAATTACCACAATAAAAATTATTTTTTACTAATGCCAAAAAAAAATCAATTTAATAGAAAAAAATTAATTGATGCAATTGGTTAAATATAAAAATCTTGAATGTGGTAATTTGCATTAGTAAAAATTGTTTTTTCTATTAAATTGATTTTTTTTGCATTAGTAAAAAACAATTTTTATTGTGGTAATTTGAATTTTTTTTAAATGTTTAATTTGATATATGAATTAAAAAAAACGAGATTTGAAATGAAAAATAGATTTTATTGCATTAAATTTTGGAAAAAAACGAATTTTAGTTATTTTTCTATAATTATTTTGCAAGTTGGTTCCCCAAAATAAGAATTAGGTGCAAGTTGGTTCCCCAAAATAACGATTTTGAAAGTTGGTTCCCCAAAATAGGAATCAGGTACAAGTTGGTTCCCCAAAATAACGATTTTGAAAGTTGGTTCCCCAAAATAAAAATCAGGTGCAAGTTGATTCTCCAAAATGACGATTTTGAAAGTTGGTTCCCCAAAATAGGAATTAGGTGAAAGTTGGATCCATTTTGATGCAATTTTCCCATATTTTTATGATAAAAAATATAGTAAAATTTAGTTTATATTTTCGAGTAATATACCATTTTTATTGAGACCATCAATTTTCTTTATACTTTTACCATTAATAAAAGTGATTTTGAATATTTAATTATTATCATCATAAAATATTATATACTATATTATAATAT